ATTTCCTCTGGTAGGTGAGTCACTCCAAATACAGTACACTCCACTGTATATATTTCATCCTTTAAATTACCTTCAGATCTAACTAATTACTGAATATACAGAAGGCAAAGCACTGCTTCTAAAAAGTGGTTTCATTATGGGATGTTTTAGCACACAAGTTATAAGAAAGTAGTACATCCTTTAAATAATACTATAGGGCTGTTTCCTGATTTGCTGTTGCTGCTATTAGATCACATAAAAACAGAAGAACTATAGCACTAAGCAGACTCGGGGCCGGACATAATGATTCAATGCACACTTAAAAAAAATATCTCAAAGTGCTGTGCTGCATGTTGTTTTTCTCCAGCCGCTGCTGTTCAACACTACATTTTGGTGAAGTATTACAATGTGTACTAATATCTACCGCTTCCCAGCTTGTTGTAAATATCAGTAGACTATCTAAGGCATACCAGAGTAACATGAAACAGTGTGCCTATGTGTTTAGTTAAGAGTGAACGTGGGTCACAAGAAAGTACAGTATGGACTTTATGAACTCCCATTCAGCAGTACATATTGTATATCTGTATTGCGAGCAGTGAAAGCTTGGTCATAATTACAATTGAGACTAATAAAAATAAATTCTAAAGTTATGAGAAGCTTACTGTATAACTTCAGCTAAAATGACTACTGTGTGCAACAATTGATATAATAAATGTTTCTCCACTACACCTGTTGTTTTTCTTAATTTGCAAAGTTTTCTTTTTGGTTTCTAATTTTTAGACTCTTCAATTGCTACTTCTGTCTTTTTACAAAATCGGCAAACTATTTTTTTGCATGAATTTTAGTTTTGTTCCTCTGCTACCTTAATTCATACAGTATACACGTGAGCATTTACAGTACGTAATTTTCACCATTTGCACCAAAGTATTATTTTGTGTTTTCTATTATCAGTTATCAACATTTTGTTAACGAGTAAACCATTTTTAAATTTTCTTTACATTTATTTTTCTTTTGAAATGTTTCTGCAATTCTTTTCTGAAAGCATTTCATAATGCTCACTTTTTTGATTGTGGATAGTATCTTTTGGGGGGGCAAGGTGATTTCAATATAATAATAATAATAATAATAATAATTGCTTACACTTATATAGCACTTTTCTGGACACTCCACTCAAAGCGCTTTACAGGTAATTGGGACTCCCCTCCACCACCGCGTCCATCTGGATGATGCGATGGCAGCCATAGTGCGCCAGAACGCTCACCACACACCAGCTATCAGTGGGGAGGAGAGCAGAGTAATGAAGCCAATTCATAGATGGGGATTATTAGGGGCGTAATTTGGCCAGGACACCGGGGTTACACCCCTACTCGTTTCAAGAAATGCCCTGGGATTTTTAATGACCACAGAGAGTCAGGACCTCGGTTTTACAACTCATCCGAAGGACGGTGCCTGTTTACAGTATAGTGTCCCCATCACTATACTGGGGCATTAGGACCCACATGGACTGCAGGGTGAGCTGGCCCCACTAACACCTCTTCCAGCAGCAACCTTAGTTTTTCCCAGGAGGTCTCCCGTCCAGGTACTGACCAGGCTCACACCTGCTTAGCTTCAGTGGGTCGCAAGTTGTGAGTTGTGGGGTGATATGGCTGCTGGCAATACTGATGTACTATAAGGCTTGGCAGGGTAAACTTAAAAGGAAGATAAGAAGATTATACAATACCAATATTTCATTTAGTGTTTGAACAGCTCAAACAGTACTACAATAAAAAGTTTCCCTTTAAGCCCTAGAACGAAAAAAGGTCTACAGTATGTTCCAAACTAAAACTCACTTTGATATTTTCTAATTGTTTACAACTGTTCATATTCACCTAAATTATGTTTAATAATTATTTCTCTTAAGACACTCTGTATATGAATAATTCATTTTACTTCAACAGATATTTCTGAATGATAGGATTGATATCCTCATGTTTTATTTTTATTAATAGCATTTCATAATGCCTGCGGAGTTTCATTTTGCTGGCAATATGTGCAGTTATGGGATAATCATCAGAAACATTTTACTGATGTACTGTAGGTACAGTAATTACTGTAATTGGGCAACTACTGTACCATTTCTCTTTTTTCCAATCATTTTAAAAGGAAGTATTTTGTTTACTCAAAGATGATAGTTCTCCAGATTATATTGCTTAGAATGTACTTTTCTTTCATTTTCAGTTGCTATTTTTATCAAACTTATTTTAAGAAGCTTTTTTTTTAAATAGGAGAACCAATTTGCTGAAAGTATGTGAGAAATTCTCAGCATCCTCTGTTGCAGTACAATATGTTCTCTACAAGGATGTTTGCAGGAATGTATGGCCAATAAACACTCCTTATACAGTACTTTTTTTAATATTTAAAATATTCCTAGATGTGCCATATCTGATAGACATTTACATAATTTTGTGCTTGTTATTCCCTGCTGATTCTTACACTTCTCCAGTATGTCACTACATGGATTCCAGTTTTTCATTGAAATTGAAACATTTCAATTCAGTGTGTTTTTATGCACTTTAGTATGTACTGAACTGAGAAAAAAAATACGATTGAATGCAATACTTCAGGTTCACTTATCCAAAACACTTAAAAATTAAAATATAAACACAAAGAATGAGTGTTTTTAAGAGAATATTAAATGAGAAACTGAATCCCATTACCACACACCAGAATTGCACTGGTGGGATTTCACAGAGTGGCTGTGAATTATCTGGAAAGAAAATTTGAAACTTCAGTGAAAACATATTATTCTTTCTGGAAAGCTAACTAATTCAATGGAAAAAATCAACAATTGCATAACTGATTTGTTAACATAATTCTAATCACTGGATAATTTGGATGTGGTTTACATTGAAGATTATTGATTTAATTGGGAAGGATGTAGAAACTTCTTCTCCTTAAATTATTTTTTTCATTATTCATAAAATGAGCTACTGAGGGCAAACCTCTCTTCCATGATGAAATCAAGTAACTGTCATGTTCTTTTTCACTTTAAGTAGTGTTTTGCATAATTAACAGTTATGCATGTGGCATCTTTGAAACAGCACTTAAACAGTAAACAGAGTAGAAAACAGTGTCACATCCTGCTAATCATCCTGTTATTTTCCTACAAGTGGTCATTAGGGTTATAGTCTATATACAATCACATGTTTTTATTTTATGTAAATTCTAGGCACTGTTTTTCAGCCTTTGTCCTATTGAACAACCATTAACTGCATTATATAGTTGAATAGATACCATTTCCATCCATGGCTTAATTAAAGTGTCACATTCATTGTCACAAAACAGAATGAAGTTCTTGCTGAATTAAAAAGAAATTAGGATGGCAGATGCTATTTTAATGGTCTAATCATGACTTTCTATGGGCTTCAGTAAAAACACGTTAAACCTTAATATTGTACAAATCTTGGTTCACAAGTATTGCTGAAAACTGATTAGTTGTGCTAATTTGTAGACAGCTGTTTTGGGCCTGTTAAAGCATGCCTCCTTAGTACCAACAGCTGGCAAAAAACACTCCACCATACATTCTCAGATAATTCCTCTCTCTAATTTTAAGCTAATGTTTAAGCATGAAATGACAAATGAACAGTATGGTTGACTACTAGAAAACAAAATAAATTTAATTAACTTAATTAGAGACCACTTTGCCCTGTTTCTAAACAAACCATTGTATTTACTGGTGAATTCTTTATATTCTTCCTGTCCTTGAACTCCATTACAATTGAGAATATTAAAGTATCAATTAATGGAATGTTCAGGGACATTCATCTTTTTTGTACCTACTACTGTATACTGTATATCCTGTTTGATCCCACTATATCTTAAGCAATAAAATTCTCTTATATTTCAATCCTCAACACACTCACATTTCTTATTGCTTGTACTGTAATAAAAACATAATCCAAAGTTCTTCCTTCAGTTTTATTTTACTTTCTATATATATATAAGTTTGGAACAAGCTTTATTTCTGCTTGGAAACTGTGCCATTGGGCATCATAACCCAGAGCTTCTGAAAATAATGAAGGGCTCAAGCTGTGAAATTATGCATTTTCCCCCTCCAGTCTCTAGTGCATGAATTGTACAAAGCTGCAAAAATAATATGGTGAAGACTCAACCCAGATGCTGATATTTTATATGGGTAGTGCCCACAGACGCTTGTCTGGAGCATTAAGATATTATTGAGATATTAAGAAACTAGAGATCTGCAAGGGCACAGACAGCAGGCAATAACTGCTGCAGTCTTATTTCTGTATTTCTTATTTCCTATTCTCTCCAATGTACAATGAAACTCTATCCACCAACATCAACATATTAACTCAAATCTTTTATGTGTCCTACACTGCCTTTCACTTTATAACTTTGGAAACATTCCATGAAAATTAAATTAGCATTCTTTGCCTCTGTTGTTATTGTGTTGAGAAAAAAATAGGTGACATTTAAAAGCAATGTATTCAAATGTTTTGGGATGACACATTTGACTCATTTGAGAAATTCAGTGTCACACATGCCCTTTAAAAATGCTTTAGGTGAGAAATGTAACTCTTACTGCAGAAACAGATGTGCAACTAACATGCAGAACTTTGTATTAAAGTGTAATCCTATGAAATAATAAATACATGTAACTGCAAGGAAAATGAAGCAGCTACCCCCAACAAGATCCACAAAAAATAATATTCAATAATGGACATAATTGAATATTGGTTTTGGACCTAAAATTGTAGTTTAACAGTAAGCAAGCATTTTCATTGATCCTTTTTTTGCCTTTCCTTTAGAATATTACTGTCGCTCTTTTTGTTTTTGTTGTTAGAAAATAACAACTTCCAAAGAGCAACTTACTGTATATTGCTGTTTCCAAGAAAAAGCAAATTTATTCTTTCTTGCTTTGCTGGGAACCTTGTATAAAACTGTGTCAGATATTTAAGCAGGCGTCTGTGTTGTTGTAATTAAGCTATTCAGCGGAATGGAGGGGAACATGCATTTCATACCTTGTAGTACTGTAGGCCTTCAGAAAGTTAAGTATAAGAATAATGCTGCTCTCCTGTAAAATCCCAAGTGTCATCTGATTCATAGTAGGTTATACTTCCAGATCAGGGAACCTGAAATTAAAACAGTTTTAAAATTCATTTAATTGCACATTACATGCCACAGCAAGCGCAATAAAACACCGAAAAGTAAACAAACACTAATTGGAAAGAAACAGGTGAGCATGGCATGAGAGAAAAGCTTGAGCAAAACCAAAACATACAGTGTGTAAGGATGCTTCCAGGACCATGTAGACATTTTTTTCAACTTTAAACACTCTGTCAAATGATGGTTTGTTAAATTCTGAGTTACAATTTTACTTCACTGAATGATTGCAGTCCCAAAGGAGATTCTATTTTAACCCTTATGACATCATGCGTGTTAATCAGAGAAAAACAGTAAATTAGAATAATTTAATAAAAATAAAAATAATTGAACGCAAGGCTGTTGCTGTCTTTTAGCTGAGGCAGGAGCTAAATAACCAATTCGTGAACCAAATAAATGTTACACATAATTTTATAAATGACGGATCTTGCACATCCCTTTCTGCTTCACACTTAATTTATTCCAGAGTTGATGAAGTATTTGTTTGATCAGGACAATAATGCAATAAATTTCAGCTGCAGCTCAGCCCAGGTACTGTATATGTACAGTATATTGAAAAGTTTGGAACTACCATGTTTTTATGCCCTACCAATTTAGAATCACCAGTCTATTAATCAGCTCGATCTCTACATCTTACACAGGGGGGAATGACTATATATTCTTTCTTCACACTTGTCACAACCCTTCTCTATTTTACACACTGTGAGCTCAATGGTGCCTTCAAGAGAGCCAGCATTGATGCATTGAGACAGGGTGATGAATCTCTTGCTGATAACACTAAAAGCGTACAAGCTCCAGGTCCTTACACAACTGACTGAATCGCAAGAGTTGCATGCTGCCTTTTGGAGAATCCCAGTTATAGTAAGGCAATAACAGACACAAGATTCAGTCTACCAATTGGACTACAGCACTCCACCTGCTTTCTGAGCAAGCACCTCTAAATGATCTGACCCCTCAGGACCAATGGGATTGCTGTCTGTAAATAATATGTCTACAAAAGTACTGTATGAATATTACATAAGTTGTATGTTGAGGTAACCAAAACGTCATGTTTAACCAGATACGCTTCTTAAATGCAATCCTTTGGGTACATTTTGGGTTTAAGAGTTATTATGTATCTGTCTGGGCATTCTTATTGTTATTTACTGTATATTATGACATATCTTTTATAATATAACCCATAATTATAGACAGAAATTTAGGCAGTCTTTTCCTCTCCATCTAAGCAGTGCTATACCTTTTGTCTTCAATAGAATTCTGTATTTAGAACTGGAGTCTGTAAAAGCTTGTTTCTTATTAATTACAGAGGTAGTTTTTACATAAGAAGAGTTACAAAGGACTGGAGGTCATTCAGCCTATATTATCCATTTGATTCACTAGTACTACAGTAATTGATCAATCCGTTTCTTAAAATAAGCAAGGGTATTCGGTTCAATAACATTGCTGAAAGCTTGTTACTGACCGCACATGCCCTCTCTAATTGACCAGTCACCTGCTTGTTTAGTACTCTCCATTACATACTATAAGCAAAAACCAGTTCACTCATTCAAACCCAGTTCAGTTTAATTTATTAACCTTCTCGCCACCACTGGCCAGTTACATAACTTGACCCCTGTAAAGAAAAGAAAATGTTGTATAGTACAGGTCTGAGCTTTTGCTACTGTATGTTCCTAAAATAATTTTGCAGTAAAATATTTGTTTCTGGTTATTTGCTGTCAATAAATACCATAATAAATGTTATCCTTACATATGGGTTTTAAATACTGTATAAAGCATATTAAATATATTAAATTTAATATAAAGAAGTGCTTTGAAAATGATCAATTGCTGGTTAAAATACCTGGTCACCACACAGTCCCTCATATCTGTTACCATGTCTGAAGCCAGAGATTCATTACAGGTTGAACATGTTCTGCAGTGTTTGAAGAACATTTGAACAATCTTTTTTTTTACTGGTAACAAATATTTGTTCCAAATATCACTGAACAATCTTTACAGTGAAGGCAGACATTGTGTGTTTATGCATGCAAAGAGCCATTAGAGTAAGGATATTACATTAGAGGGAAACAAGAGTAATATTCATTTCAATCAATATTTGCACTCAGAGATTATCGATTTTACTTGGGGCCAAGCAAAAGACTTGAGCCTCCTATTCTTATTTGCAATTGATTGCTTGATTTCTTTTCAACGTTCTGTAATTAAGTAGAAATGCAAATGTACACAACCGTCTATATTTCTTCAGTATTAGGGAAAAGCTAAAATGTTCTTCAGCTATAAATGTATAAATGTGGTTGCACAATTAAGGGCTGTAAAATGTTTTATTGCATTCTATAAAAAACAGCCATTGTAATTAATTGATTTCCTATTGCTTCATAACATTATCGTATTCCAGTGGTTACCCACTCTTTTCCTCATCATCTATGAGACAGCAACCATTCGTGAGCACTGTGTGTTTAAATAAATGTCAGGAGTGCAAAATCACACATCACATTGATTTTGTGAAGACATCTTAGATTTTAAATACTGTAAGTGAGATCTTTTGCAGTACCCCTTAGAAGACTCTTTAAAGACATTAGGACAATGCTACAGTATTTAGGGGCGCAAAACATTTTATAACAGTAAGGGCTGGACTATACCTGTTCTCCAAGGATAGAGTGTACCACAGGGATAGTACTGACTAAATACAGTAGACGTTATCCAGTACCAAAGGATTTTAATTTGCAGACTGCTAATCATAGTGCTAGTGCAGATACAGTACATCACTTGGAATAACATTAGGACATGTTTTGTAAGCCAATTAGAACACTTTAAAAGAACGCCAGATCTTGAGAAGAAACTTCTGATACTTTAAAAGAGCTGTTATTAAGTGTTTGGTGGCTCCTGTGGCACTCAGTTTCATAATACACAGATACAGTAGAACCTATACCAATCTTGCAGAACATGCCCTACAACATTACAATACCATGACTGTCTTCATAGAAACATCACAGAAATATTTTATCATGATTTTAAATCTGTTCATTTGAACATCAGTTCTGTCAATAAAAACACAAAATGCTGTGCGTATCAGAACTATAAAATATGTCAATTTAAAAGCCAGCATCTAACCTGAATATTGTTATGTCAGTGTAATGGTTGAGTTTATTGGAAATCCGTAGGCAAGAACAACACTTTGTTTCTTCCACACAAAATCCTCAACCTTCATTTTAAACAAAATGCACCTTGTTAACTTTGTAGTAGTTGATTAAACAGTATTTCAAAACTGAAAAATATACATTTTCACAGATATAACTAAGAAAAGACAGCTGTTCCAATATCTTAATATTTAACCCTTGTCAATCCCTGACATTTCTGAATGGTGTACTGTATATAGTACACCTACTGTATATATTTTATATGCTGTGCTGTCATGGTCTTGGTTTAACAAAATTCAGTCACTGTTTCTACAGGTTTAAGCTGTAATATAGAGGCTAAGTAAAATTATTTGTAAGCAGAAAGAAAAGTCTTATTTTTTAAATGTAAAAAATCACCTTACAAATGTGAGCAAGCAAGAAGGTCCAACAATTCATAAACTAGCACTTAAAAACAGATTTAGCAAAGGGTACAACTTCAAGTTAGTGATCTGGACTATGGTAGTGAGAAATCACAATTGATTTACAGAATATCTGACACTGTTACAAATGGTTGCAACAACACCACTGTTGGCAGAAAGAGTCAGCTGGTGGGTGCAACAGGAGGAACAGTTTACAATCAGCAAGTGAAGGACAAAGCAAATACAGCCGTTTTAAATACATTTTCCTTTGGAAACAGGTCAGCAATACAGTATGAAGCTAGATATGAGTTCAAGAAATAAAGATAAGAGTCCTGATGAAGAAGGAAAAGACTGGTAAAAAGATTTTGTGTTGAATGCAAAAAAGAATGTTTGTTACTGTAAGACTGAAAGCACAATTGTTTCCCACGCTGATAGTAAGACAAATTAAGAAAGTCATTTAGAACTGTAAATAGTAAGGTAGGCTTTTGTTTTACAGCATATTGTCTTGCTGAAGGATAACCTGTACTTCTGTACTCTTGTTAGTTTACTGCTTTTCTGTGTTTTATGGGCTCAGACCCTTCTGTAGCAATGGCCCAGATGTCCCTCCTACCTGGAATGTCATATTAAATAGAGAATATGGATGCAGATTGCTGCCAAGTGCATAGTACTCCCAGCCTGGGAGAAACTAGCCGACTGTCTGCTGGAGAGCAACAAAGTATAAGAAGTGTTTTGCTCCTATTGTAGAACAGAAACAGAAAGGTTTTCAAGTTTTGGCAACACAAAGTAAGACAGAAACTACTCAATGAACAAGAATGAGAAAGAAGAGCTACTAGTCCTTACAGAATGAAAAGCGGAGGAACAAAAATAAACAAGCATCTGTCTATGAATTAGAGAAATTAGAGAGAGAAGACTTATTAGAAGACTTCCAATAATTAGAGCAGATGAGACAAAGAAGACAGAGGAACAGAAGGAGCAGAAGAGGCTGGAAAGATCAGAGAAAGCAAAATGCTAGCACAAAATACTAAAACTCCAAATTTAGAAAGAAAGAAAAACAACACCCACTTACGGCTTGAATGGAAAAAAATGTTGATCAAAAAAAGAAAGAAAGTGAAGCAATCTGGGGAGACTGAGTGTAAGGAGAATGGAGATAAAGATCAGGAGGTGGATGAACCTTCCACAAAGAGACAGGTGCTGGTGTTCAGTAACTGTATCTGCTGCTCCTAACTGCTGCTGTAACCCAACTGCTCCTAGGTGCACTTCTTCTGTACTTGACTATTCTGTTAATTCTGAAAATGCTGGAGAGGAGGATATGTTATGCCGTGAGTGACAGAGCCACAAATAAGCACAATATCACCTCTGACTGGCAAAGGAAACTAAGAGAAGACTATGGCTCCCAGAAGGCTCCAGAGTCACTTAACAGGACAAAGGGTGGAAAGT